CTCACGAAGGCTCCCCAGGAGATGCAGTGACCACGAAGGCTCCCCAGGAGTTGCAGTGACCACTCGGTCTAAATCGGGGTCAGATGGACACTTGGCAGCATCCCCTGCCACACGGCATGGGCAGACGGGCCACGGCAGCCGCCCAGAGGTGCCTGTGTGGGTCAGTCCCATTGCACTCGAGGGCCTCCAACCAGACATGCCCCCCCCCACTCTACTAAGTGAAGCCCAGAGCCCACCTTGCCTGGAGCGTGAGAGTCGGGGGTGGGGGCTAAGGCCAGATGAGCAACGGGGAAGCTGTGGGGGCCCTGGGCATCCCTGGGCCTCAGTTTCCCCCGTTCGCTAGTGCCGTCGCTGGCAGGCATGGACCTCCCCGTCCCGTCCCCCAGCACCCAGCGTGGGCCGGTGGCCCAGGCGGGGGTGGTGGGCGCAGCCGCCAGACGCACACACGTACCTGCAGCCGCTTGGCGGCCTGCCCCAGCGACCGCTCCACGGCGCGGATGCCGTTCTCCAGGCGGAGGCTCTGCTGGCCCTGCGCGCTGATCTCGCCCTTGACCTTGCCGATCCTCCCGCGCACCTCGGCCTCGTCCACCTGCGCCTCCCGGCCCTCCCGCTGCAGCTTCTCGGCCTCCAGCCCGCCCTCCATGGCCTGGATCTGCGCCCCGTAGTCCCGGAGCCGGCGCTCGCACTCCGTGACCTTCTGCCGGATCTCCTGCAGCTGGTCCATCAGCTGCTTCTCGTTCTCCTGCTCGATCTGCAGCTCGTTCTCCCAGAACTCCTCCTCCTCGATCTCCACGTCGTTCCTTTTGATCTTCTGCTCCAGGCGGACGATCTCCTCCTCCAGGTTCGAGCTGTGCTTCTGCTCCCAGAAGCGGATTTCCAGGTCGCTGGACTCCAGCTCCTTCTCGATGGACTGCAGCTTCTCCGTCTGCAGCCGGACCAGCTTCCGGAGCTCCTCCGCGGTGGTCTTGCAGTTATTCAGCACCTTCTGCTTGAACTCCGTCTCCTTCCCTTTCCCAAAAATATCCATCAGTCCTTTGGCCCCGCCGGTGAACGTGAGGGACTTCCTCTTCGGCTCTCTCCTCCGGAGGGACTTGTCCGCCTGGGGCCGCAGCTTGGCCAAGGGCGGCAGACTCTGGCGGTGCAAAGTCCTCTCGGGGGTGCGGGCCCCGCTGTCGGAGGTGGGCCGCTCGCTGAGGGAGGGCCCCGTGCGGCGCAGGATGAGCTGGACGTCGCTGGCGTACTGGCCCCATTTGTTCAAGGAGATGATGGGGTTCTCGTGGGGGGCTAGGTGCCTCTCGGTGTCTCTCCATTTCTCAATGAGCGTGTACCGCCCGGTCCGACCTAGGCAGGAGGAACAGAGCATCAGGGCGCGGCCAGCAGCGGCCGACACGGGCCCCCCCCTCGGAGGCTGGCCTGGGCACGGGGCCGGGAAGGGCCGAGCTCTGCAGGGCCACCGTGGTGGAGATGCCCTGAGCGGAGCTGAGATGGGCGGCTCGGAGCCAGCCGGGTGCCTGCAAGGAGCCCGTCCTGGGCAGTGCGGACTGGAGCCCCGAGGCCGGGCTTGGCGGGCAGAGCGGAATAAACCTCTGCTTCGTGAACTCCCTGTTCCCAGCCCGGGACCTGGGGAGGTGGCACCCCGTTTCTCCCGAGGAGGCAGGAAGGCAGGGTGGCGCCTGCTTCTCGGGACTTCCGGGGCCCCTGACCAAACCCCGGCATGCACCGCCCAGCCCAGTGGTTCCTTGCCTGCCTCTGGGAAGTTACTTTCTGATATAGAGACTGTTTCTTACACACGCACGCTATGTGATGCAAGGGTTCGACTCACACATACGATGGAATCAGTGTCAAGGCAAGCTTACTCAGGGCCCATAATCTCGAAGAGAAACAGACAGACACAAGCTGTGTTCTTCCGGTGAGAACTCTCGGTCCCACTCCCGAACAATGTTCCCCTGCCTGTTTATCTCACAGCAGACGCCCGCCGGCCCCTCCCGACCCCGCCCTCCATCTTCCTCCCCTCCCCACCTCTCCTCCCCCCAAATCCAACCTCCTTGTCAATGTGGATGGTGAATGGTTCTGCATCTCTCAAATGATCTTTTTTTTTTTTCCTTCTTTTTTGGGTCACACCCAGCGATGCTCAGGGGTCACTCCTGGCTCATGCACTCAGGAATTACTCCTGGTAGTGCTCGGGGGACCATAGGGGTGCTGGGAATCAAACCCAGTTCAGCGGCGTGCAAGGGCAAACGTCCTACCCGCCGTGCTAGTGCTCCGGCTCCTCAAATGATCTCACTGCAGTTTAGGGGATGCCGTCCCAATGGTGTTTAATCTTCGGGCACTGAAGAGTCTGCTGCTCACCGAGCGACACCAGAGACGGCCGCTAGAGGACCCAAGGACAGTGAGGGAGTGCCCCCGAGATCGGGAGCTTAGATTTTATTAGGAAGGTTGGGTTTTAGACCATTTATGTAAGAATTAAATCCCCTAAATAATCACTTTTTAAAGATGCATTCTTGGCAAGGTCCTGCAAATTCCATTTCATTTACAGAAATTAAACCCCTCTTTTGCAAAACTTTTGTGTCTTTTATTAAATGCCCATTTAGTTAGACTCTGCGCCCTATCTTGGTGTGGCCTTGAAGGGTAGAAAGGAATCCATCTACCCCTCCACCCCTCCCTCTGACACTTGTACTAAGCAGCTTTGGCTATCTAGAATGTTTGCATATTGAAAGTAGATGAAATATTGGCTGATTTTGTTTTTAACAGAATAAGCAATTGAGTCTGATCCCAAGAATTATTAACTTTAAATAATGAGGAAAATTACATAGTGATTTTGTACAAGAGTAAGCTCTCCTGGGATAACTGGCACAAATTAAAAAAGAATAACATATTACTCTCCCTTAACTACTAAGATAGAAAATGTGATTATGATTATTGATTATGGAAATTTTGTTGGAAAATATCTAACAGAATTCAAATTCAATACAGTTCTCCCAAAAAACATTATGCCTTTATTTCACCACTTTTAAAAACTGCAATCAATTTTTACAACTGAATTCCCTCTGCCCCTTCTCCCTGAAAGATTTAAAAGTCAGTTGTGTTATTCATTCAACAAACATATTTTATCTACAAAATGCTAATAGTAGCCTCCAGTTCTGTGGGATTAATTCTGCCAAACGCTGGCTCATTAGTCCTCTTCATATTCGTTTTAGTCTGATTAAACTTGGATTAAAATTAAAACTAATTTTTTAATTTTAGTTAATTAAAATGAACTAAAATTAATTTTAGTTTAAAATTAAGGGCTGGAGCGATGGCACAGCGGGGAGGGCGTTTGCCTTGTACGCGGTCCCTGCGGCCAACCTGGGTTGATTCGTCCGCCCCTCTCGGAGAGCCCAGAAAGCTACCAAGAGTACCTCGCCTGCACGGCAGAGCCTGACAAGCTCCCCATGATGTATTCGATATGCCAAACACAGTAACAACAAGTCTCATGATGGAGACGTTACTGGGTCCACTCGAGCAAATTAATGAACAATGGGAGGACAGTACTACAGTGCTTAAAATTAAAATTTTAGTTTAAAAATCACTGTGAGAGTCGGGGGGCTGAGGTCAGACAAGCAACAGGGAAGCTGCAGGGGCCCTGGGGCATCTGTTTTCTTGACCTATGCCTCAGTTTCCCTGAGTTCCTAGCACCCCAAGAGCAGGGTCCCAACGAGGGACTGGATGGACCCAGGGCAAGCTGTGAGCTATCCTGGCATCGAAACGGGTCAGGCCAAGTGCTATAATATGTAACTGTAAGTTAAGAGCACGGTCATGGACAAACTCTGTCCTGACCCAAAGAGAAAAAAACTGGACAAGGACCCAGCTTAGGGTTAGGACAGGTTCATCTGACCTGAGCACTGAAGTCTGGGATCTAGAGTGAGGCGTCCCCAGGAGAGCCACCCTATAAGCTTAATGTATCTCTTACTGTGCCCATACAGAATGACCAATATTATTAAGAAGTAGAATTAAGATGAATGTTCAAATGGTTGTTGGATGAGGAAAGGAGAAGCGCAGCCCTAGATGGCATTTCACCCCTAGGTGGGTCATCTTGCTGGATGAGAATTTGTCCAAGGAGCAGCTTCTCCTGAGAAGGACTTTCCTTCTGTTGATGGTATGAACACACCCGTGTGTAGCTGCTCCCCCAACCCCTCATGATTTGGGAATATAGCTAAGGAGGAGAATTGAGGGGGATGGAGGAGGATGAGGAGAATCTAGCGGGACAGAGGAGGCATAAGGGAGTGGGTGAGACTGAAGGAGGCAGAGGGTGACGGGACTGGAATAAACTGCAACTGATACCAACCGGCCTGGCCTCGTTTCCTTCTTTGTCTTCCCGTTGCCATCGGCCGTCTGGGGTGGGGAAAACGGCCTGAGACCACCGAATACAGGTGGTGAGAGGGTACCATGGCTTGGAATGTATTTTATTTTATTTTATTTATTTATTTTGCTTTTTGGGTCACATCCAGCGATGCACAGGAGTTACTCCTGGTTCATGCACTCAGGAATGACTCCTGGTGGTGCTCGGGGGATCCTATGGGATGCTGGGAATTGAACCTAGGTCGGCCGCGTGCAAGGCAAACGCCCTACTCGCTGTGCTATTGCTCCAGCCCTGGAATTCATTTTTTGAATACACACCTACCCACAAAAACCCAACCCCCTCGAGGTCACAAAGAGCATCCCTATGAGGTCTAACTGTGGATTACGCTAGAGGCTGGTGTACTGGTGGCTTCACATACATTCTTTTGCCATCATCTCTGCTTTTGCCAGTCCGTTCATACTCTGCTAAAGGTGCAGCCAAAACGTCACTGCAGAGCCACAGTGAGTCTGGGGTTGCCCGTCAAGAGCAGCAAATCCCCCTGGTTAATAAACCTCGATTACTCCTTCGGGTAAGAAGAAGGCCAAAGCACTCTCCACTCAGTGGCCGTCGGTACACCGGGAGTCCCCTCAGAAGAATGCGAAGTGTGGGACAGCGTGTCTCGATGCGGGACGGGGTGCTGAGGGCGTCCCTGGCACCCGCAGTGGGCTGGCAGCCGAGCCACCTCTGCGACGGGCTGACGGGGCGTGTCTCTGGGGCGTGGGGGCAGGACGGGCACCAGGGCTGAGGGTGTCTCTGCCCAAGGTGCCAACGTCTCAGAAAAGGCCTGCACCGAGCTACTGAGGGAGCAGAGGGGGGGAGATTCCAGCAAAAACACTTTTCCTCTGGCTCACAGACTCTTATTCTTGAGTCTGAGTATGACGGACGGACACATGCTTGGTGGGCACTGCGGGGTCTCTCCTTGGAGATACTGTCCAGGAAAATGCCACTGCCTTGACTTTGGAAAAAGTCTTTTTTTTTTTTTTTTTGCTCTTTGGGTCACACCCGGCAATGCACAGGGGTTACTCCTGGCTCTGCACTCAGGAGTTACTCCTGGCAGTGCTCAGGGGACCATATGGGATGCTGGGAATCGAACCTGGGTCGGCCGCATGCAAGGCAAACGCCCTACCCGCTATGATATCTCTCCAGCCCAAAAGTCTTTTCTTTTTCTTTTTTTCTTTTTCTTTTTTGGTCACATCTGGTGGTGGCCCGGGTTTACTCCTGGCTCTGTGCGCAGGGACCCTCTGAAGTGTGAATGCACCAAGGCCAGTGTCTGACCCTGGACACTCCTGTCTAGAGCCACTTACATGGACAGACACGGACAGTATCATGCTGAGCGGAATGAGTCAGAAAGAGAGTGACAGACACAGAAGGACTGCACTCATTTGTGGAATATAAAATAACATAGTATGAGACTGACACACAGGACAGTAGACACAAGAGCCAGGTTGGCAGCCTGTCTCGTGAGCTGGGGGAGGAGGCAGTTGGGATGGAGAAGGGATCACTAAGTCAGTGATGGTTGGAGGGATCCTTCGGGATGGGAGATGTGTGCTGAAAGAAGATAAAGGACCCAACGTGATGTCCTCTCAGTATCTGTATTCCAAACCATGATGCCCCCAAGTAGAGAGAGAAAGAAGGAAGGTTCCTGCCACGGAGGTAGGGGCTGGGATGGGGTGGGGGTGGCGGGAGGGACATGGGGACATTGGTGGTGGAAAATGCACACTGGTGGAGGGATGGGTGCTCGATCATTATATGACTGAAACTTAATCATGAAAGCTTTGTAACTATCTCACAGTGACTCAATAAAAAATAATAATAATTAAAAAAAAGCTACTGGGGCTGGAGCGATAGCACAGCAGGGAGGGCGTTTGCCTTGCATGTGGCCAACCCGGGTTCAATTCCCAGCATCCCATGTGGTCCCCTGAGCACCGCCAGGAGTGACTCCTGAGTACAGAGCGAGGAGTAACCCCTGTGTATCGCCGGGTGTGACCCAAAAAAGAAAAAAAAAAAAGCTACTTACAAAATTTGCCCCCAGCTCGATACCTTAAATAACAAAGAAATGTATGGTAATAGTTGTAAAACTAGGTAGAAAAGAATGGGAGAAAGAGCTGGGTTTTCCTTCTGGGTTTTGGGCTACACCCAGTGGTGCTCAGGGTTCATTCTGGACAGTGCTCGGGGGACCCAAGGGGATGCCGGGGATCAAACCCAGGTCGGCCGCGTGCTAGCCAAGTGCCTTCCCACTGTGCGATCACTCTGGCCCCCAAAGCTGTTTCAGTGAAAAGGCAGTGAAAAGTAAGCTGAAAGGGTTTTAGAACTCAGTTGGAAGGAAAGAACATGTGATGGAATGAAGAGCCTTCCCTTCCGTCTCACTGACGGTCAAACGTAACTCCACACACTAGCCCCCAAACGGAAGAAAATGTTGCCGAAGGCTGGCTTCTCAGCCACGTTCTCACAGGACGGCCGGACAGGACTGGAGGGAAAGGCTTGGGCGGGGGGGTCCTCGCTCAGAGGGGAGCCTCCCGGGGCACTGAGCCCCACCGTCCACTGCCGTGCAGCGTGCCAATGGCTTGGTCCGGCCCGAGCTGACCCGCCGGCCTTCTGGTACCAGGCGGGGATGCAAACCCCTTCCGGGCTAGGAGCAGGGAGACCGGGCCCAGCACCATCCCTGGGTAGAGGGGCCGCGGTGTAGGCATCCACCCTGGACTCCAGCCATCTTCCGGCCCCTCTGGGGGTGGGGGAAAATCCCCCCACGGCTTAGCCCCCGCCCCACACCTGCGCTGGAAGCAACCCATGAGCACTGCAGGGGAGACCCCACGCCAAAGCGCCACCCCAAGCAGCCTTAGAGCAGATGGGAAGGAAGGCTGCCATGGAGGGGCACCCAGGGGAGTGGCCAGGGGTCCCGGTCAGTCCACCCGCCAACCCCGAGAGCCCAGGGCACTTACCGATGGCCTGAGCCAAAGCGATCACGACCTCCTGGCAGGTGGTGACCTCGGTGACGCCACACACAATCCTCTGTACTCCGTCCACCCAGACCTTGAGCTCCATGGCGCCCGCCGTCGCCCGGACGCCCCGAGGTGCTCATCGGGCGCTCAGGGCATGCCGCTGGCCGGGCGCGCGGGCGGGCGGCACCTGAGCAGCAGCTGCAAGGAGGGAGCGTGGTGGTCAGTCAGGGCCCGGCTCGACAGGCGTGGTCACCCCACCCCGCTGCCCTGCACAGTCCTGCCACCTAGGGGAGCCGGGTGGGGGGGGGGGGGCGGCCTACCCTCCCGGCCAGGCCCCTCCGCTCACTGCAGAGGCTGCTGGTGCTGCGAAAAAGCTTCTCGGTGCTGATGTTGCCGGGAAAGTTTCTGTTCCTGCCCCTCTAGAACCATAAATGCTGAGGCTCTGCCCAGAGCCGGCCCAGGAGCACCCGCCTCGGCCCAGGGGCCGCCTTCCAGGGCCTGGCCTCGCTCCGGCCCAGGGCTGTCTGGCTGCACCCCCAGTCCCGGCCAGCGTGTGCCCAGGGGCGTGGGAATAGCGGCCGGTGGGAAGGAAAGGCGGGGAGTTTCCCACCAATGCCACGAGGCCCCTTCCCGGCCAGCCGGACGCCGGGACGGACAGTCCGCCCCACTGCCCGGCTCTCAGCCCGTCCACGAGCCTGTCCTCTGTCCCGGCTGCCGCCGTCCTACACGGGTCCTGCCTGTGGGTGACAGTGGTCCTACACACTGGGGCTGCCAGGCGGCTCACCCACGGGGCCCCTCGCACGTGTGCCACGGATGGTGTCTTGCGGCAGGGAAATGTCACAGAAAGGCCAGGGCACGTCCTTAGCAGGTAATGAGAAGCGGGAGGAGCCCCGAGGAACCTCACCCCGCATTTCTCTGGGGCCAGTGACCGCTCTGCACGGACCGTGGCTTTCTAGAACTTCTCTGAACACTGCAATGAGGCTGCTCTGTCGCCAGGGCATCACGTCCCTGTGACGGGCACCGTCGGAGCAGAGCCCACGCTGAGCCCGGGTGCCCACTCACTGCCGTTCTGACAGGTGCCTTGGCGGCGTGGACGTCACTGCCTGCCCACGTGGCCTTGAAACCACGTACCACCCCCATGCACTGCTGGTCAGATGCTCGTCTTCCTAGAGAAACAGAGGCCGTGAAAACGGCGCCATCACAGGCAGCGGGGGCGGGGCTGGGGGCTGCCCAGGGTCCCTGGCACGAGCCACACCCGTCACAGACCCAGTGAGGAGGAGGTCGGGCAGAAACCCGCCCGTGCCAAGGCTCGCCACTGTGTCCTCAGAAGCAAAAGGCCTCCTCCTGCAGGTCACTGTGGGCCGTGCCCCGTGGTTACTCTGCCCGGCAACCTGCCCCCACTCCCATCCCAGGAGTCCCCTCTCTCCGCAGAGCAGGGGTCCAGGCCTCCGTGTCCTGGCTGTCCCCCCGCCCCCCTCTGCCGCGCTTTTCCTCATGGGTGAGCCCAGGTGCTAACTCAGGGTGGCAGGTAACCGGAGAAGGTGGTCACGCGGAGGGGCTGGCGGGAACCCGGAGGTGACAACCGATAGTCAAGGGCTGTGACCGGGCAAAACCCTGCGGTATTGGGTTCAACTTCCGGGAAAAGATAGAAATCTCACCGTTCGTGATGCTGCCACCGTGAAAAGCACGCCACGCGGTGGAGTTCCTAAGGAGCCTCAAGCCAACACCTGGAAAAGGTGTCCCCCAAACTAAGCCACACGCTACTGTCCTTTCTGGGGGTGGGGGAGTGATGCTGTGACTGCATGAGCCACAGCTGGCCACGCCGCGGGCCACACGTGCCGGGTCGGGCCACGCACAGGCACCGCCCCTCAAAGTGCCTTTCGAGTCAAGAACACGAACACAGGGGCTGGAGCAATAGCACGGCCGGTAGGGTGTTTGCCTTGCACTCGGCCGACTCGGGTTCGATTCCCAGCATCCCCATATGGTCCCCTGAGCACCGCCATGGGTGATTCCTGAGTGCATCGCCGGGTGTGACCATCCCCTCCCCCCCCCAAAAAAAAAGAACACGGACACATTCTGTTATGTTTGACAGGCGCAAAGGCAAAACCAAGGCCCTCACCCCCAGGAATCACGCAGGAAGTGCCGTTAAATACTCCCATCTGGGGCGTGTGAATGCTCAAGCCCCCCCCCCCCAAGGGGGCTGACGGCCAGGTTCAGCGTGGTCAGTACACTCTGGATCACAGTGCTGCGTGGGTCAGACACTCGATGTCCAGAGACGACTCAGGAAGTGCGGGGACGCTGCTCCCAGCCACAGCTCTCAGCGCCTGGCCCCTCTGACAGCGACAGTGACACCGTGAATGAAGCCACCCAGAACTCTGCCAGCGCTCTGCCTGCAAAGGCCCTGGGTTCCGGCCCCCGCACCGCCCGGGTCAACGAATGCCATGTCTGCACCCCAGACAGACCACTCCAGCTGCCGAGGGGAAGGGAAGTGGGATCGGGTGCTCCTGGTGCCTCACCCTGACCCCAGTAGGTCGGGGCTCCCCCATGCGGGCCTCTCAGCACCCCACACAGAGCCTGTCTCCTGGGCCCTGGCCCAATCTCCAGGAGAGCCAAGCGGTGCCCTGCTAACGTGTCTCCCAGGGAGTACCACGTGGAGTGCCACAGAGATGGGATTTCCTATTTAGCACACAGACATGGCACGGGTCATCAGGGGCTCACACCCGGGCACAGTTTAGATAACGCCAATGGCAGCACGTGAAGATGATCCAAACACCTAAGACTATAAGCATGCTTTTGAGTCAGAGAGCTAACCCAGAGGATGAGGGGCGTGCCTTGCATATGCCGGACCCAGTTCGACCCCCGGCACCACGGAGGGGCCATGAGCCCCATCAGGAGTGAACCCTGAGCCCAGAGGCAGGAGCGGGTGCTGAGCACCACCCAACTGGAACAGAAACAGTTTTTGTTTTAAGTTAAACAAGGAAAAAAAGCCTCACAGTCAGGAAGAATGAACATCTGGATGTTTGGCTGGCAGACGGACGTGATAGGAAGGATTTGTCTCTGAAAACAAAGGACTGATTTATCAAGCCAATAAATTCATTGTGGAGACACAAAAGTCAAATAAAAGCCGCTGGGGACAAGGGCAGCTCCCTAGTGCTGGGAGGGGGAGGCTTCGGCCGCACCAATCCCACCGGCACAAAAGCCCACCCAGCAAGTCCTCCAAGCGAGCCCACCAAGCAAGCCTACCAAGCAAGCTCCTTTCGAGGGGGTTAAGAACACTTTCAAGGACAAAGTGCTTTGCGTTATTTTCCCATATTCATGATCACGACCATCCTGTTGTTCGTCGATTGCCTCGAGCAGGCCCCAGTAACGTCTCCTTCCTCCTAGCCCTGAGATTTTTAAAAAGTGCCATATTCAAGGCTCTTTCAGGGTTAGGGGAATGAGACCCATCATTGTTACTGGTATTTGGCATAGTGGGTACGCCACGGGGAGTTTGCCAGACTCTGCCGTGTGGGCCGGTTACATTCGGTGGCCTGCCAGTTTGTCAAAAGCAAGAATGAGACAATAAGGCATTCGCGGCCGCTGAATAAAGCCGCCAAAATAAGGCATTTCCTTCCGGGAGCTGGGTTTTATAGTCTCTGGGTCTTGGCCGTTGATGGAATTACACGGCGCTGGGGGGCAGTTGGTAGGTGTGACCCCCAAGCGTGTGGAGAGTGGTCTCAGCATGCTGGTGGCTGGTTCTGGAGGTCTTTGGCTGCTGGTCCCTGGTGAGGACAGTCAGGCACGGGGTGGGAGACTCTGCTGGAGCCTAGTGTGATAATCTCTGGATCCTGGCCGTTGTTGGGGTTACACGGCAGTTGGTGGGTGTAACTGTCTAGCTACTGGAAGGTGCAGTCCCAAACCGTGCAGGCTTGGAGATCTCAGCCCCGGGTCCCGCACACCTGGGTTCCTCTGCCGGTTCCTTTATGCGTGAGGTTCATCCAAGCGTGTGGAGAGTGGTCTCAGCATGACTCTGGCAGGGTCCCGAAGGTCTTCGGCTGCTGGGCCCTGGTGAGGACAGTCAGGCACGGGGTAGGAGACTCTGCTTTGTTCTCTCCCGGGAACTTCCATATTTATCTCAGGAATTCAGGAGCCGGCAGCCATGTGCTTCTTCCCTGGCGGGAGGGCAGTGAGTGGGGCCCGGAGCCGCGGGCAGGGCAGAGGGCCGAGTGTCCTCGTACAAACTGACCGAGCAGCTCCACAGCCTCTTCACATTGCTGCTTCCCGTGGCGTGTCCCCCAACTCTGGTCAGTTCTGAACTGGGGGGTCTCTCCCCACCGAGACTGGCCGGGAGCTGGAGCTCCACTCAACACAGTGAGCGCGGACAGAGGACGCTCCTCCCGGTCGGAGGGGCACGGGCTACCCACAGCACAGACCTTCCGGCCTGGGGGCACCTCTCCACTGAGGACCGAAGTCCTTGAACTGAGAGCCGAGTTTCTTGTCTCCACTCGGCGCCCACGCGCTCTGTGCACACACACTGCCTGTAAAGCGTGAGACTGCTCTCTGCTCTGCTCACACTCAAAACCCATCTCGCGCCTAGGTGCAGTTCCTGCCTTTGATGCTGAGACTTGTGGCTTCTTTGCTCACAGGCGATTGTCTGCAGGATGAAAGCTAGTGGGCTAAAGGATTTGCCTCGAGGGGTTCTGGGGAGGGGCTGGGAGAGAGGGAGAGAGATAGAGACAGAGAGACAGAGACAAAGAGAGACAGAGAGAGACACAGAGAGCGAAGAAATAGCTCCGGGTCTCATCTCAAGGCTCTTCCTGCTCTTCCTTACAAAATGCTCATTTTCAAATGAAAGTGACCAAATGCACAATCTCTGGCCCGAACGTGCTTGTGACTCTCTCCCGAGAGGCAGCACCCACAGTCCTAGAGCTTACGTGGGGGCGGCGTTACCCACCGTCCCGCTCCCTCCATCCTCACTCTCGAGGGGCTTGAAGGATCGGGGGAGCCCCCAGGGCGGGGACCCTGGCGGTGCTGGCCTAGGAACGGCGCACGCGCCCCCTCCACCCCTCACTCCCCCTTTCAGGATCACGCTTGGTTGTAAACGCCCTCAGCCTAAGTCGCTATCATCTGGGGCCCATTTTCGATGCTTCTTTGTAACATCACCGGGCGTTCTGTCAGGGTCTCAACATCCCCGATGAGAAATG